CCACGCCGCGGGGATTTTATGGCGTGTCTGGCCAGAAGTCCAGGCCGGAGGGGAGGCCGACAGTGAACCGGGCCAACAGCGGGCAGGCGCATAAGGACGAGGCGCTGAAGGAGCTGAAGCAGGGCCATGTCCGCTCGCTGAGTGAGAGGATCATGCAGCTCTCACTGGAGAGGAATGGGGCCAAGCAGCACCCCTTGGCCCCAGGGAGCGGGAAGGGCTTCAAGGCAGCCCCGCTGCCCGCCAAGGCCACGGACCCACGGGGCCCACCACCGGAGTACCCCTACAAAGGCAAGGCGGCGGCCCCTGGCAGCAAGACACAGGAGCACGGGCTCTTCTATGGCGAGCAGCCAGCACAGGATGTCCTCAAGGCCTCCTACACTGCCCCCCAGCCTGCCCGGGCAGAGGTGGCCCTTGTTCGCTACCAGCCACCCCCGGAGTATGGGGTCAGCAGGTAATGGCTGTCAAGGGGGGTGGGTTTGCCAGAAGGGCCCTCACTGGAGGAGCTGGCTCCTGCAGGGCTGGGGCCTCATACAGGCATGGCCCCCGTGAGCTTCAGCTTCAGGCACACGGTGGGGACATCGCAGCCCACCCAAGGACGGCTGGTGTAGGCACCTGCATCTCCAAGAGGGCTGTGTAAAGCACATATGCAGCTTAGGCCCTACTTAAATCTTCCCAGCAGAGCTCACATGGGGCTTTCATGGTCCCAGGTCCCTCGTGCCAGGCCTTCCCGTGAGCACGGGTTTATTCCAAGCGCATTAAAACTAATCCAGGGCATTTACTTATTGCGAGCTGATCCCTGCAAGCAGTGTGGGTCCTACCAGCACCCATGCAGGTTAGCTGCCTTCAGAGGTGAGCCCACATGTTGAAAGCTCCCTTTTCCTTGCTGTACCTAAATGCAAGTGTTTCTCTGTCTCTTTGATCCCCCAGACAGTATTTAGCTAGATTTGGAAGGCTGGAGTTGTATGATGTGAATGTGAGCAGTTTTCATGTTGCAAGCTGCCTCATTAGGTCTTTACTGACCCCAGAATCCTCAAAGGTTTTGTCAATGTCGACTTAAATCGGATGCATTTATTTTGCCACAGTGCAGGCATGGAGAAAAGGGGGAGCAGCTGACCCAGCTCTTCCTTTCCGAAATTTGTAAGGCATGAAATGAGGAAGCAAATGCTCTGCCTCTCCATGTTTGCAGAAGTGACGAGTTTCATATGAGGATGGGGAGGCACTGGGAGCCTGCCTTTGATGAATGTTGCAACACGGTTGTGACAAGTGGAGGGCCCGTGCTAAGCGCTGCTGGCCTTTCTCCAGTTACACATGTGTTTTGATTACCAGCCTACCACTGTGCAAAGTTTACGCATTTTTTTCAAAGTGAGATGATATTTTTAAGAGCTCAGCGAAAATCTCTGTTTATGCTAAGAAACAGTTATACGAACTCAAGGGCAACAGGGTCGAGCTGGGGCCGTGCTCTGCTGCAGCCATTAGCAGTGCTAACAAACATCTCTGGCACCAGATTCATCCCCATGGAAAAGGGGCTGATTTGGGTTTTTATGCCACTCTTGAAAACTGCTGATTCGGTACCCACAGAGTCTGTTCTTCTGAGTCCATGTGAGCAAGCGGGTGCTCCGTGCACTGCTGCAGCTACCCGGGATGGCACTGGTGTCAAGCGAGAAACCCTTTGGGACAAGTTCCAAAACCTCTCCTGGGTGCCTGATCAGCAAGGTTAGAGCTGAGAAGCCCCTTGATTTCAGTGCAGCTTTCCACGCTGACGGTGTGGGCCAGCCCCCAGCCTTATCTCAAGTCAGCTGCTGGGAGAAACCCCCCACCTTGTGATGGTGGTTACTGCTCATTCCCAGTAAAGCAGCAGAGTTTAACCCCTATATCACATTGCAGAGGGCATGCCTGCTACTCATGCTGCTGTTTTCTTTGCATGACAGTGAAGAAATGTCCCTCATGGCAGGTTCAGTGGTGCTGGAGGCATGTGTTGTGCAGCAGAGGACTGGCAGTGTGGCAGAGCAGAGCTGCTGCGGTTTGCAAACTTCTTAAAAAATCTTGGATGGTGTCTTGCAGCTCAGCCTTCGGTCTGCATATATGCCTGCTGGCTACTCTAGCTTACATTTCCAGGGGTATGTTAGGAGATTGGCTTAGCTGGGTAGTGTTTCACCAAAGCTAGGTTTGGTCTAAGGCATGTGGTGTGTTTCTCTTGTGCTTTGTCTAAGGCAGTTCTGGTGTGCAGATGGGGATTTTCAGGTCCTTCTTAGCTCCTTTCACACAGTGTCTGGACTTTGAGGGATGTTTCCTGCCTACATGTTCCTGTTGACTACATTTTAGATGGTAATTAGTGTAGTTGCTCGGTTTTAGACTGTATCTTGTGCTGTTGCTTTGCACAGTGCTGGGGGAACATTTGGCTGTGCAGGAATGTCGGCATGCAGTGGTCTTCATCCTCACCTTGAGCTTTTTTCTGTGATATTTTTTGATACGGGAATGTCAACCTTTCACTTTGCTTGGTTGCACCGAAATATTCACTGTTGGCATTACCCAGACTTGTTCTTAATTGGCATGAACTGGTTTGGTTTCTTCTTCTGTGTCATATCCCAGCTTATAACTGGCCACGTGGGCTGCAGGATCTCCTTAATGCCCTGTCACCTGTGAAAATTTGGGTGACTAAAGCCTTTAGGAAGTGGCAGTAGTCCCAGTGTGCCCAGCAGCTGTGCTCTGGTACATCCCTGCATGCATCTTGGGCTGTGTTGCAGGATGGGCTTGTCTGGGTCTGGAATGAGCCATTTTAAATGCAATTCAATTCAAAATGCAATTTCACAAAATGAGCTCTGCCACAGATATTCCTCTCCATGAAGAGGGTTAAGGCAGGTGACCTGCCTGGGGACATAAGCCCTGTCTCTACTAGAGGCCTTGTCAGCGCTTACTCTGCTGGGTTGCTCCCAAGCACAAGTGTTCCCCTGCCTCCGTTCTTGCTCGCTGCTTTCCCCCGTACCTGGGCTTTGGGGAGCCTCACAGCCAGCTGGCTGGCTGGGGTGGAGAACCTTGATAAGAGAGGTTGAGGTAGGGGACTACCTGGTTTCATAAGGTTAATGGTAGAGCATGGTTCGGAGAGGCTGTTTTTCTTCTGTTAGAGGAGCAAGCAAGGTGAGAAATTCCAGCTTTCATCTCTTTGGGAGGGCCTGGGAAAGAAGCTAATGAAAGCAGAGCTTTGCCTGCGGTCAGATAGGGATCTCATATATCGCAGCATCTCCTTCCCTTTACGCTGGTCATATCTGTTCCCCAGCCTATCCGTCCTGACATCCTCTGGACAGGGTCTCTGCAAAATGCTTCTGCCTTCCAGAAAAGAGAGGAGAGAAGCACAGAGCTGCATTGGTCCAGAGGAAGCTCCCACAGATGCCAGGAATGGAAAAGACCTGTAGGGTCACCGATCCCTCACTCTCCCTGCAGTCCTTCTGTGATGAGGGAAATGTGGCTGGAAACCCACAAATGCTGGCAGGGAGCTGCTAAAGGAGATGAGATAACTGTGGCTGCTGCTTAAATTGCTTTTTTGATTTTGTTTCTGTTTTTTGCATGTGGCTGGTTTTAAAGGGAATGTTGCCTTCATAATCACCATGGTGAAATCTCACAACTTTACTGTAAATCTCAAGATATTTGGTGTTGTCCTGAAGAACTCCTAGAGTCTTATGATGCTGTGGTAATCTTAGCGTTTATATAAATTAGACTTAGTGACCTCTCCTTTATGGACATCACGATTGCAGAGCAGAGCTTGAACCCTGAAGCTTAAAATGCAAAAAAAACCAGAAGGTAAATAAAAAGGAACCAATATTTGTTCCTGTTTTAAAATGCCAGTATTTTGAAGCTTGTTGCGTGATGCCTGGGGCCCTGACTCACGACTTCTGAATGCTTTCAGTTGGCCAAGTGTAATAATCTTTAGAAAACCTTTCCTTTCCTAGATGTGCTGGTATACCTGAATGGTGTCTTTGCTAACTTTCCTTAGGTGCATGTTTGGAGTTGCAGCTTGTCAGGTAAAAGGGCTTGGAAATAATCTAATTTAGTCTTCTGCACAACTCCATGAGTTAATTTTAGTTTGCAAAACATTTAGTCCTGGTGATTATAACACTCTGTGTCTGGAGAGTCCATCACGGCCTCTACAGACTTGTTCCACTAGCTAATTGCCATCCCTGGCACAGATCTGCATCTTAGTTTTAGCCTGTATTTTCTAGTTACTAGTTGGGATTTTCCAGTATCTTTGTGAGATACAGTGAGGAGCCCTCTGGTATCGGTCTTTTAATGCATTGAACAGATGGATCCCCGTCGTTATTTCACTGTTGTCAAAACCCCTTTTTTCGGTGTGGAAAGCTAACCTGGACACCATTGCAGTACCAGCTGAACCAGAGGCCAATAAGATACAATATCACCTCTGCAGTGCAACTCAGTGTTCCTTGTCTACAGAGCTCATTAACAGACGTGTGCACCCTGGGAGCTCCCCATGCAGCTTGTTAACTGGTCAGGCATGTGAGGGTAGTCACAGCCCGAGATAGGGTTTCCCTCCCTTTTACTGTACCTGGCTGTATTTATTCCTGGGTGAACTTGAACCTGCTCAAGTCTGTGTTGTTTCTTTGTGCCCTGCTCGAGCACTGATCCAGATCACTCAGTGCAATGAATCCTCGTCATTGCTTCTGATGGCCCTTGTCAGATGCTGGTGTCTTTTATCCAGAATTATTTCTTTCTCTGCACTGTAGTAAAAAGCGTGTATAATGCAAATGAAGCCTTGAACTGGAAACACCACTGCTTGGTGAGGGGACTTCATTCGTGGCTACATGCAGAAGTCAATCATGCAGGCACCTTTTAATTCTCATTTTAAAGGGCAGCATGCAACTGAAGAATAAATCTGGTCTGGTTTTATGAATATCCAGTTTATGTGTCTCATAAAATTCCACCCTGCCTGGATGTAGAAGCCTATATTTAACTGCTGGAATAGTCTGTGGCTTCTCTAGTTATTTGTGTATTAACCCCCCCCCCCCATTACTGCTGTTTTCAGACAACCTGCTGATATTTACTCATTCAACCACATGTCTGTGGCTTCTGAGGGGACAAGGAGCTTCTTTTCCTCCTGGAGACACCCCAGGCTGGCGGGTGTGCTGGCAGCATGGCTGAGCTGAGGGATATCACACCCAAGCCGACTCCTGCTGGTGTTTCTCTGCGAGGATGGCCCAAGTGTGAGCATGGGTCGGAGGCTGTGCTTCTGGCTTACGTGGATGCTGGCAGCCCTGTGTCCTCTCCTTCTGGTCTAATCTGCCTCTCATTAAAATAAAAGGAAGAGAAATTAAGCTATTCCCACAGTTTGGGTCATGCCCGTGTAATTTCTCCTTACCCTTCTGTGTTATCCTGGTTGGTTCCTCTAGGAGTGCAGAGGTTGAGAAAGGCACCTTTTCCTTTGCTGAAAATCAGCAGGGCTTT